ATGGACTCCACGTGTGCTGGAGGGTATTCCATACACCCCAAGCCCCCCCGGTACTGATTTTCTACGAAAGTACTCAGACTCTGATGATTAGTTTTTTGAAAAAAGAGAGAAAAATCTCGCTCCCTCTGAAGTATGCCAACACGAAATCTTGTGTGGAACAACGTACCACCGGAGGGTTTGGGGGGTATGGAATACCCCCCAGTATACTAAGATTTGATTACATTTTGTTACCCTCAATTGTTTGTATATTTCTACGAATGGACTCTACGTGTGCTGGAGGGTATTCTATACCCCCCAAGCTCCCCGGTACTGATTTTCTACGAAGGTACTCACACCCTGATGATTAGTTTTTTGAAAAAAAGACAGAAAAATCTCGCTTCCCCTGAAGTATGCCAACACGAAATCTTGTTTGGAACAACGTACCACCGGGGGGTTTGGGGGGTATGGAATACCCCCCAGTATCAATACCCCCCAGTATACGAAGATTTGATTACATTTTGTTACCCTCAATTGTTTGCATATTTCTACGAATGGACTCTACGTGAGCTGGAGGGTATTCTATACCCCCCAAGCCCCCCGGTACTGATTTTCTACGAAAGTACTCATACTCTGATGATTAGTTTTTTGAAAAAAAGACAGAAAAATCTCTCTTCCCTTGAAGTATGCCAACACGAAGTCTAGTGTGGAACAACTTACCACCGGGGGGTTTGGGGGGTATGGAATACCCCCCAGTACACGAAGATTTGATTACATTTTCTTACCTTCAATTCTTTGTATAAGTATTAGTACGAATGAACTCTACGTGTGCTGGAGAGTATTCCATACCCGCCAAGCCCCCCGGTACTGACTGTCTACGAAAGTACTCATACTCTGATGATTAGTTTTTTGAAAAAAGAGAGAAAAATCTCGCTCCCTCTGAAGTATGCCAACACGAAATTTTTTGTGCAACAACGTAGCGCCGGGTAGTCTGGGGGATACGGAATACCCCCCAGCATACAAAGATTTGATTACCTTTGTATATTTGTACGAATGGACTCCACGTGTGCTTGGGGGTATTCCATACCCCCCAATCCCCTAGTCCCTGGTTCGAATACGAGTAATTTGTAAATGTATATTGGCTCGGGTTGGTAGAGCAGCCTTGGCTGAAACCCCGCCCACTCAAACATAAAGAATTATAGAAATGATGAGCAATTATAAAAGTTATTGTCATGCCAGAATACCAGAAAATTCCGATCACTTCCGAAGATATGCCAAAAGAACCGAAATTTGCCGATTTCGTTTTCATTTTTTCTTTAGTTATTTGAACAGATACAATAATAGAAAAAAAAACACTTTCCCATTGCCCCTTTTTGAGCACTATATGAGTATGACACAGAATTCAATACAACGATATACGGGATACACAAAGTACAAAGATCGTAGGTTTCAACAGGATGGTGCTACCGCGCGCAACGCCCTAATCGTGAGAGAATACCTATGAGCGAAACTTTCCATTTTCCAAGAAATTTGTTCGATAGGCATTCTCACACGATTCAGGTGTTGTGCGCGGGCGCAACGTATTGTTGAAACCAACAGTTTCCAAATTTTGTTTATTTTGTGTGCCATATATCATATCGTATTCGAAATAAAAATATCCTATTCAATACAGTATGTACTTTTTTACGAAACCAAAAATTCTCTCCATTATGGAACGCCGTTTTACTTTTTAATGGCAACCGTATTTAAGAATTTAGAAGAATGAACTATGAACAAATAAAAATATCTTAGAGATATTTTTAATTAATTACAAATATCTTAGATATTTTTAATTGCACTTTTTGCTTCTAGGTTATTTAAATTATCTCTGAGATATTTTTAATTCGGGTATACATAAACGAGAAAAAATATAATTTCGGTTTTATCGATATCTTAGAGATATTTTTAAATAATTAAAAATATCTCATAGATATTTTAAATTCAAATAAGGAAGAAACCTCATTAACTTATTTAAAAATATCTCTAAGATATTTTTAAATTGTGTATTTATCAATATCTTAGATATTCAAATATATATAGACTCAATTAAAAATATCTTAGATATTTTAAATTAAAGTTTATTTAAAAATATCTAAGATATTGTAAATTACCGCCATCTAGCAGCAACGTTTACGAAATAGTTATAAAATAAGTTTGACAACCTCGCAAATTTCTTGTATTGGGTACGTCGATCAGCTGATGTGTGTTATTGTTTGTTTTGGTGGAAATTGTGCCAATTCTGTTATTTTTATTATTGGTTTATAGAAACTTATGACTTTTTGTGCGTGTTATTTTTGCTTGAGTGTTGTACTCAGTATTTCTCATTTTCTGTACATTTTTACAGGATCGCGTTAACGGTGCAAGAACATTTAAGAACGTTTTAGTGTAATTTAATTGTAAATACCTAGTGATTAAACATTTTTTGAGAATCGTTTTGGTATATATTAGATTAGATACTAGCAATAGCAAGTTGTGCTATAAATGGTTGTAAAAACAACAGAAAATTTCCTGTGATCAATAAAAAATTTACATTCCATAGGTTAGTTAAATTCAGCACTGATACATTATAAATCAAAATTTATATTCTTTTAGTTTCCTTAAATAAAGGTGAAATGCGAAAAGTGTGGTTAACACTGCTTGGCAAAACCGATGAAAATCTACCAATCAATACACGTAAATTAATAATCAGAAATGAAAACTTCACAGAGGTTAGAAAACAAACTAATTACAATGTTGCCAGATGTCTTAATATAATTAAAACCGAACTTCTCACTAGGTGGCGCCAATTTCCTATATCTTAGATATTTGAAATAACATTTATAAATATCTAAGATATTTTCAAATGAGGTGTATTTTAAAATATCTAAGATATTATAAATAAAAATTAGGCATTTTAATATGAAAAGTCGTTTTACTTTTGAATGATAATCGAGTTTAAGAATTTAGAAGAATAAATTTTAAACAAATAAAAATATCTTAGAGATATTTTTAAATAATTACAAATATCTTAGATATTTTTAATTGCAGTTTTTTCATCTAGGTTATTTAAAATATCTCTGAGATATTTTAAATTCGTGTATACATAAACGAGAAAAAAAATAATTTCGTTTTTATCGATATCTGAGAGATATTTTTAAATAATTAAAAATAATTAAAAATATCTCATAGATATTTTAAATTCATATAAAGAATAAACCTCACTTTATTGATATCCTCAAAGCTTAACTTATTTTAAAATATCTCTATGATATTTTTAAATCGTGCATTTATCAATATCTTAGATATTGGAAAATATATTAATTCAATTAAAAATATCTTATATATTTTTCAATGTAGCGTATTTATTGTAATCGTGTTACACAGTATTGAATTGACACAATTAAAAATATCTTTAAGATATTATTGATCATTTACTAATATCTAAAATTTGACAACAAAATGATTTAAAAATATCTTAGATATTTTTAAATAAGTTAATACGGTTTCTTCCTAATTTGAATTTAAAATATCTATGCGATATTTTTAATTATTTAAAAATATCTCTAAGATATCGATAAAACCGAAATTATATTTTTTCCCGTTTATGTATACACGAATTAAAAATATCTCAGAGATAATTTAAATAACCTAGAAGCAAAAAGTGCAATTAAAAATATCTAAGATATTTGTAATTAATTAAAAATATCTCTAAGATATTTTTATTTGTTCATAATTCATTCTTCTAAATTTTTAAATACGGTTGCCATTAAAAAGTAAAACGGCGTTCCATACTCCATGGTGTCTGGTAGAACTCAATAAGTGGCAATGAGAGAGTGTTTTTTTTATTCTGTTCAAATAACATTAAAAAAAAAACTAAAACGATATCGGCAAATTTCGGTTTTTCTGGCATACCTTCGGAAGTAATCGGAATCTTCTGGTTTTCTTTAATTGCGCATCTTTTCTCTAATCGTTATTGTACAGTCATTGACAAAAGTAATGATCGTGGAATAGGTAAATCCTGAAACCATACGCAACAAACATTTCAATATATTGTGCAACTTGGGATTGCGAATCAACAACCTAAGGTATCTCCTCCTTGAAGAAACCGACGATGTGATAGGCATATTGGTTGCAGAGTTTACCCATTAGGCGATCATTACTTTTGTCAATGACCGTACCTTCTATGGTTTCTGGGATCTCCTTGATAGACTTCCTTATTTTGAACACAGTGTATAAGCATACAAATTTCCTGATGATAATGATAATGTAGAGAAAGCGACATAGAATTTTCCTTAATGGGGGTTATAGCTGGAGGTGCTGCCCAGACTTTCCAGTATTGCATTATCCCCCAAAACTCTCTACCTCACCACTGCCATAACAGTTTTCTGTAAGACGCCACCAAACGTACCATGGGGGGGTCACGAAGAGTTTATTAACGAGCTCCTAGCGAGTTCATGATTTTGAACTTTTTGTCCGTCCGTCAGTCCGTCTGTGGACAAGATAACTCCCGAACGGTTTCGAATTTTCCATTTCTGTTTTCACTATTTTGTTTATCCTCACCCAAGGAAGACCTGATTAAATCTTCGGTGACTCAAGTGTTCTTTTGCTGTATTTGTTTCAAGTTTATTTATACGAGTATACACAAATGGTCTAATGGTGATAATGAGGACTGTATGGAAAACGTTTTTCTTTACTCAGATAGTCTAAGGGTGTCATGGCTAATTTGACCCTTGGGGCTTTTAAAACTGAGTACAGGCCAGATTGGGAAAATAGTCGATTGGGAAAATGTGCAGACATTTTCCCCAAGCCGAGAAAACACTTACGAGACCAAGGTTTGTTTCTGACAATGATCTGATGATAGTTGCTGTATGTGGCTCTTTTGAATAACTACTAAAAGAACTGTTAATTGCAGCAACGGTGATTCTTTCGTATCTAAAGAGATTTTTTGGCTAATTTTCAAGGTTCACAGCAGCTGCAAAAGGATAAAAGAGCTACGTTGAGGTTTCCTAAAAACGTTGTCTAGTTAACCTCGCTAAAATCACGTAGATAAATTAACACAGCAAGCAATTCTAAACAAGGTTACCTTAACTCATCAATAAAAGAGACCCTGACAGTAACAAATTTCAATCAAAATGAAGCTTGTAACGGTGTTCCTATTCGCGTTCCTCCGCAACGTAAGTTCGTGTCAATTCAACGTATGCTACTAACAATTTTTTGTAGGGTGTGCTTTTAGATCCTGCGATACCTTCAAAAGAGGATCAAGCGAACGTATTAAAATGCCTCGATGAAGTCTTCCAAGCAATCAGAGTGCTCGTTAATGAGGAAGGTGGCGTAACAGATACGTCGTCCGTAATCGATATACAGCACATGGTAGTTCAGGCGATGAATTATTTACTGCTCGTCGAGGAGTTGACCTTATTAAGTAAGTTTAACAACTTTTGCATAGTACGCAGTCAACCATTAACTTACTTGAAGAGTTATCGACGACGCCAGCGGAAAATTCCACGTGCAAAAGCAACGCGAGGCACCTCGTGGAGAAGACGGTCGTAGAAGGGGAGGAACAATTGCAAGCTTGTCTAGATCAAGCCCTCGGTGTTATTTACAATAATTCGCGGTCGGTTCGGACCACGGTCAGTGAGGCGATGAATAGAGGGGATGGTTTTCTGGACGCCTTGAATAAGTGCGCCCATAAACCGGCACTTCAGATGGTTTCCTGCTATAAGAAGCTTATGGTTACCGATGTGTTCCCGCTGAAGGTAGTCCTCGTGAACGCACTCGACGTACATAAGTCGGCACATTTTGACTCGATTTCGGCGAAACAACGGAGCATCGAATGCGTCGACGACGTCGTGGCGAAGCGGAGGGACAAAGTTGAGCAGATACTGAATGATGCTCTTAAAACTTGCGTTTGAATAAATAAATTAGTCTTAAATATCAACTGTTTGGGTTGGGTGGCAATAACCGAAATTGTACCACTCTGAAATCCCTCTCCCTAAAAGTTCCTGAAAACCTTTTTCATTGAAAACTAGACTTGACGATGGATACTCCCACTCCCATTTGAGATACAGATAAGGTTTCGGTGATTTTTAACTTCCACTTCTGTTTACAAAATTAATTAACTTTTAGCGATAAGCGCCACTCTTATCTACGACCGGAGAAAAACACGAGATAAACTTCTCAAATATTACGCAAATAATTTCCGGACGTTCCTTATTCTAGAATGCAAAATTTCTTTACCAATTAAATAAACAATTACATGCATACAAAAATTAAACATCGTCCAAACCAAGTAAATCTTCACAACAATATAGCATGCGGGATGCATGAAATGTGAGATTTCTGCGGATCCTACGGAACTCATAAAACCTATGAATCTGTGGAAGCAATGGAACCTATGAAATGGATGGTGTCCCGGAATCGGCAGTACCGATAGGGTGTGCAGAAAGAATCTAAGGAATATTGAGACACCCACGGAGTGTCTACACAACCTAGAGGATAGAGAGGGACTAGATTTTTTTGGGAATGTAAAAAATCTGTTGTATGTACCTAAAGTATTGAAAGAATCTAAAAAGCTTATAGAATCCAAAAATAAAATATCCAAAATATACAAAAAATTGGAAAAAATTTAAAACACTCAAACAAATTAAGGAATCCAAAGAACCTAGTATATCTACAGAATCAATAGAACTCATAGTATATAGGAGATCTAGAGAATCTAGAACACCTAAGGAATTCATAGCATCCAGAAGATTTAATCTAATCAGGAATCTAATTGTGCATTTAAATTGTATGAAATTTGCAGGTGTGTTCGTGTTATTAAATTGTATAGGTGACATATTTCTATTTTCTACTGTTATTAAATTTGTCCCAGGTTAGATTAAATTTAGGGGATTTCATTCTAAATTTAGGGTTTTTGTAAATATTAAACATTGTTTTTCGGGTGTTTCGTGTTAGTTTTGCCTAGCCGAGTAGTTATTTGTCAAAGTGATTGCTAAAATAAAGCAAGTAAATGTGTTAAAATCTAGTTGTTTTGGTATTTTGAAGATACAACAAATCGGAGGAACATACGCAATCTGCGGATTCAGCGGATTCTTCGTAACCTATGGAATCCATGAAGGAGTCGGAGACCGAGGCGAAGACAGGAGCAGAGGCAAAACCAGAGGCAGAGGCAGAAATAGAAACAGTTACAAACCGAATCAGGAAAGAGAACAGGAACGTGAGTAGGGACAGGAACAGGAACAATAATAGGAACCGGTACCGGATCATGGGCCGGAACGGAAACAAAAACAGGAACAGCAACAGACACCGGAACCTGAACCGGAACAGAAATACGATTATGAACACGAACGTGAACGTGAACATGAACACGAACATGAACACGAACATGAACACGAACATAAACACGAACATGAACACGAACATGAACACGAACATGAACACGAACATGAACACGAACACGAACATGAACACGAACATGAACACGAACATGACCACGAACATGACCACGAACATGGACACGAACATGAACACGAACATGCACACGAACACGAACATGAACACGAACATGAACACGAACATGAACACGAACATGAACACGAACATGAACACGAACATGAACACGAACATGAACACGAACATGAACACGAACACGAACACGAACACGAACATGAACACGAACATGAACACGAACATGACCACGAACATGACCACGAACATGGACACGAACATGAACACGAACATGCACACGAACACGAACATGAACACGAACATGAACACGAACATGAACACGAACATGAACACGAACATGAACACGAACATGAACACGAACATGAACACGAACATGAACACGAACATAAACACGAACATGAACACGAACATGACATGAAACACGAAATGAAACACGAACATGAACACGAACATGGAACACGAACATGAACACGAACATGAACTCGAACATGAAACACGAACAATTGAACACGAACATGAACACGAACATGAACACGAACCATTGAAACACCGAACATGAACACGAACATGAAACACGAACTGAACACGAACATGGAACACGAACATGAACACGCACTTGGAAACACGAACATGAACACGAACATGAACACGAACCATGAACACGAACATGAACACGAACATCATGAACACGAACATGAACACGAACATGAACACGAACGAGGAACAAGGACCGAGGAACGAGGAACTAAGTACAAGAACAAAGAACGAGAACAAGAGCGAGGGCGAGAGAGAGAACAGGAACGGAGAACGGGAACGGGAAACGAGAACGAGAACGCGAACGAGAACGAGAACGTTAAGTAGTATTATATTCTGGCGATTAACTGCATATTGTGTAATTTTCGGATTTGTTTTGGATCGAGTCTTAACAAATTTTCTGTAATTATTCTGGCGATTAACTGCATATTGTGTAATTTTCGGATTTGTTTTGGATCGAGTCTTAACAAATTTTCTGTAATTGTGAAGCATTTAATTTTGTAAATAGGTACGTAAGTAGCGGCCATTTTCTTTAACCATTTGTTAATTGTGCGTTTCCCGACTGTTCTATTCGTTTTACATCAAATTTGAACCATGTTAATTCTAAACCGTTTCCGTACTATAATTTCCGAGATAACCACCTTGGATTTTGTGTTCTTTTGAATGGATTTGACATGTAATTGTTCTTACAGGGTTTTAGTTTCAAGTTATAATTTCAAATTCGCGTCTAACTACAAGTTCTGGATTTAATAAAATTATCCTTTGTTCCCGTCCCTTGCATCTTGACCTGTTCGAGATACACATATATTTATTTTGGCAATTCTGACGCGAACTCAATGACAACATTTAATCTCGGTCGAATTAATTACCTTTGTTTTTCATCGCACCATGTTAAATCTATACCGGGAGTTCACTTCTTTATGAAGATTTTTCTTGGTCGCGCTTTTAACTAATTGAGTGCCCTTAGCGATCTGATTACTAACAGATTCTTCGAATCGAAAATGACACGTATAAGCGATTAATTTTTTGTTATCGCCTATTATCGTCCGCCCAACTGGCTCTAATAACATGGAGCGCCAAATTCATTGGGAAAATTTAATTTATGTCAATTGTTCACGTTATGTGAAGCCTTCACGTGTCTCCTGTGCTGCCTCTAATTACTTTAAATCTAAGTCGGGGACCATGTATTTAAGATATCTGCTTCCAGCTGGCTCCCTTTAATTACCATTCAACAACGAATGGTATAAAAATTCAAGGGAAAATGAAAGGAGCAAGTCTTGTCGGCTGTTGTTATAAAATAGTGGAAATGATGACAGGCAATGTTCCTGGGGGTAAGGAAAAGATCAATGCTAAAGAGATTTTCTCCTTTGTTGCATAGTTTATGAAATGTTTTTCTATGAGTAATAAACCTAAGGAGATGCATGCGCTTCCCGTTCTGTTTACAATGCCCCAGACTATTTCATTTATTGCCTATTTTGGCGCACTCAGCTTTACCCTTCTGTCGCAATAAATTAGATATTTAATCTTATGCAAGCGCCAATTTACATAAATTGAAAATTTTCACATTTCGAAGAGTTTACCTATATATATGAGCGCTATAAAAATATGGGTTTTATGCAAAAATAGGAAACGCTTAAAGGGTACGGGAGTAATAAAGACGCCCGGTGATATACGGTCTTGCGAAATACCTCAGAAAGTCAACTTCCAGACGATATTTCCCGTTCGCCGGCGAAATCTCAAAAGATAAACAAGGAGGTATATCGGGAACGTGCGCCTTAATTCATGAAAACTTCAGCGGAGTCGTTCCGAATATGAGTTTTATTCATGAAGGCTGAAGGTACCTGGCCGTGCATTATGTATTTAAATGTCCGGAGTCACTTCGTAGTGCTAGGGAACGCCGATGGTCCTTTTTTGGTCAATATCATTTTTAGACGAAGAAAAAAAAATAGGGGAAATATCCGCCGACCGTCGGAAAACAAATTTATTCTAGTTTACCAAACTATTTGCTCGGATGAAAGAAACTAATCAGGAATGGTCGGGATTAAATCCTGAGAAAGTTACACGGGATTCAATGGATGTTTTCTGAATGTCGTATTTAGTGTCGGTGACTTGACACTCAATAACAAATATATATGAAACTACTCCTTTTTGTCTGATGAAACGCGTTTTTTAAATCCATATCTCCCGCGCTATTCACTATTAGCCTTACAGCTGGAGTAACAGCTCAATTTGCAAGCGGCATCAATTAGAAATGAGCAGTTTTAATCACGTAAACCTCATTAAGATAACATTATCAACGCGAAATGTCGGACAGACTGACGCAAAAGATGTCCGAAGCGCGTAATATGAATATATTGTTGTGTAAACCACTTCATGTAGACGTTATTTCGGCCTGAACACGAAAAATAATGCCGGGACACCCTGTATATGAGAATACTAACAAGCCCAATTGCGCTTGGCGGGGTTTTGTGACTATTTTATAGCGGAAGGGGTGTTCCTTTAAATACGGGTATCAAGGTAAAAATGAGGCTGCTTCGAGTTTCGCGACGGTAAAAGAGCGTGTAAATTTGTTTACGGTAAATCTCGAGCGGCTTGAGGTAGCAAGTGAGGAAAACATGAACCGACTTCCATTAATTAGAGGACTCCCCTTCTTGTACTGCTAAGAGACAAGAGCCGCAATCCGGACCAGATGAGGAAGTACCATAATACAGTGAAGACTCTACTTGCTCCACGAAATAAACGACTAATCCAATTGTACCGAGCAAATTCTACGTGAATACATAAATAAATACTTATATAAATTATAGCAAACCAGGTAATGACATTATAAAACAATGCTTGGAGCACGCCATGCGTTCAATAAGCAAATTTGTCGGGAAAAAGCTAGTTTCCAAGCAACTGCTGTATATACAGAGCGTTACGTATTTCTTTTCCTATTGTGCTATTATTCCCAGATGTGAGGTGTGTTGCCGAACCGAATGGGTATGTCACACACAAAATTCGAAGAAACCGAAAGCTACTTTCATGTCCGTTTTTAATTTACCTGTATTAACTTAACATCCTGTTACAGGGTGGTCTAACGCCTAACGAAATGGGCACTTCTTTATCTTACCCAATCTCAATAACAACTTCTTCTACAGTTTTAAAGTACAATTCGTAACTCTAAAACTAGAAATTTCATTCTTTATCTAACAAAAACTTAACTGACAAGTTTAAATCTTTGGTCCTTAAAGGCACGATAATGAATTGAATATACAAATACAGGAATAATGCGATTACCTTTAAAGACTTCGAAATACCCGATGTATTCGGCTCGATTACGGCTGCTTTACTAGCGTACTCCCAAGAGGTCGTTGAATCGGGAGAAAACAATGGGTGAAAGCTGCTCTACTCCTCAAATGAAGTCAGTTTGCTAAGCTCGGACATTTTCAAAAGATTGCACAATTCTTTTTATCAAAGCCCTTTCCGTATTTACATCATATTTAAGAACACCCTGTAAATTAAGCCTCTTACCGCTTCATGTACTCCCCTGTGGTGTGCGAGGTGAGGAGGCGCATCCGCTGAAACCGAGCGTATCTCCCATTCAAGGAAACGAGATTTCCCGAAGGCGGTACGAAGTTCCCTGGGACTGCTAGTTAAATATAAAATATAATAAATGCAAAATTACAATATAGGCAACTTGTGTTGCATATTCTGGTAGAACACGTGGTAGCACCATGATCCCGTGGAGGATGGAATATTCGTCAAGAGAAGAATGTCGGACGGTCTTTCTTGAAAGTATTACGAGAGTCTTCCTCAGGTGTTAAAAACGTAGGACCGGAGGGTCTGTGAGTTACAGACCCCCCCCCCCACCTATGTGCGGGGTTCTCATTCGTATGGGTAAAAGAGTAAATCAATTTCCGTTTTCTGGGGGGCCCATACCCCCCACACCACCCATGTTACCACTCACGACTTTTCATTTAAAAAAATCTATCGAAGGCCCGGGGGGGGGGGGCTATGGTATCCAAGTTAGCACCACAATCGTATGGAAGAAAAAAGAAAGAAAGGGGTCAGATGGTCTTTGTTGAAAGTATCACGAGTTTTCCTCAGGTGTTAGAGTTTCACGTAACAACGTAGGACCGGGGAGTCTGGGAAGTATGGAGTACCTCCCAGTATATTCGACGTTTCATTTGTATGGGTATTTCAATCAGACCCCCCGGTGCTACGTTCTCACCCAAAAATGTTTACCGTTAACACCCTCACGACTTTTCTTTAGAAAAAAGTCTATCGAGAGTCTTCCTCAGGTGACTTTTTATACACCAAGCGAAATGTTCCAAAAAAAGAATGCGTCGCGTGCGCTTTCATGCCTTATCGCAGCTGGCTAATCTTTTATCGACCTGATGGCGCCCCGATGTCTCTCTGCATTTCTACAATATTCGTTACACTTTATCTGCGCTTACTTGACTCATCCAATAACACTTCTATAACGTCATTTTTACGTCTCATTCACAATTTCTTCACGTCTCCAGTGCTCCATCTGCACTCCTATTCACGTATACCCCTTCATTTCTAAGTCTGAAATGTATTTGCCAATACTTTCTCACACTCTATTTTCTACCTGCCACCCTCTTCACTATTTTCTTACTCGTCTTATTTACGGGTAAATTACTTCGTTCCCATCTCCTTCTTTCTCACTCATCCGCATTCCACAAGCGCTCCTGTTACACCTCTTTCACGTGCTCCTTGAGTCATCGGCACGTCTCCTTCAAGTGCTGTAAATCACGGTGGGTACAGTACAAAATAAAATTTAGGTTATGGTTATACGTTGCAAACGTACAATGTGGACGAATTGATATGAACCTTAACCTAAATGTACTATCCGTTTGACGGGTCAACGCAATGGAT